TACAAACCAAGATACAGGACAAGGAAGAAACTAATGTATTGGGAGTTTGGGATAGAAACCTCAATTTTACTAATGTGTTACCTGGTTGGGAAGGTTCAGCTGCCGACGGCCATGTATTACGAGATGTTGTAGCAAGAAGGAATGGTTTGAAAATCCACGAGGGTATGCCATATCTATGCTTTCAAGTTACATCACAAAAAGAATTAGATATGAAAGTAACTAAATTGTATGTCTACATTATAGGTAATTATTATTTGTGCGATGGAGGATATACGAACGGAAAAGATTTTCTTTCACCTTATCGAGGATATAGATATTGGTTAAAGGATTGGAGAGGTGACAATCCATTGCTTCGATGTAAAGAAGAGCTTTTCAATATGAGGCATGCTAGGGCTCGTAATGTTATTGAAAGGGCATTTGGTCTGCTGAAAGGACGTTGGGGAATTCTTAGAAGCTCTTCGTGCTACTCAGTTAAGGTTCATAACAGGATCATTAGTGCTTGTTGCTTGATTCACAACTTTATTTGCAGAGAGATGGAAGTGGATCCCTTAGACATTGATATGAAAGAACAAATAGAGTATCAACACCAAAACATTGATGTTGTTGAATCGTCCGAGGAGTGGACCACTTGGAGGGATGAGTTGGCTCAATCAATGTGGAATGCAAGATCTAACAATTGATCAATTATCACAAAAAAAAAATTGTCTGTTTCAAATGGAAGTTGAGAGCATTGGGCATGTGCTACTTCACCGTATAGTGCTTATTGGTCTAAAATACAACCTGTTAGCTATATAAAACTTTTTCGACTTCATTAGCTCTTTTGAATTGGCCTGGTATAAATTGTATAGCTGCTAGACACTTCTAATTTTTTTGTGAGCTTAATTGCACATCCTTATGTACTTTCTACATCTCTTGATATTGTATGTTTTAATCTATAATGAAGACTAGTTGAATCAGTTGACGTTTGTGAGCTTAATTGCTCATTCTTCTATCGTTGTAAAGTATATTAATATAGAAATGCATCTCTGATATATTGAAATCTTTTTGAAGCTACTATAATGTTTTGTTCTTCTTCCTGATTTTCTTGGTAATGTATTTCACAAGATTTTACAGGCAAAATGAATAGTCAAACATCTTCAAACAAGGTGTCAAAAAAATCAAGCAACTCAACACCTTCAACACGAAGGATGTGGATTCCAGAAGAAGAACACACTCTTTTAGATGGGTTGAAAGAGTTGTGTGTTAAGGGTTGGAGAGAAGATAATGGAACCTTTAGGCCGGGGCACTTGATGGAGTTAGAGCGCTACATACGCAAACAACATCCTAAAAGCGGATTGAAAGGTGATCCACATATCAAAAATAAAATAAAATATTGGAAGAGAAGTTATGGAAGTATAGCTTCGCTAAAAAATTGAAGTGGTTTGGGATTTCAATATAGTGATGGAGCTATAATAGTTGACGATCCAAAATTTTGGGATGACTTTATAAAGGTAACTAATACTTTGCTTAAAATTATTAAAATTTTGTTACGTCATATATGTATTTTTCTAATATGACATTGCTATATTTTTTAAATTATTTTCTAGATTGATCCACTAGCCAAATATATGAATACTAGAAATGGCCGATGTTTGAGGATTGGGAGGAAATTTTTGGCAAGGATAGAGCAACCGGAGAGTTCGCAGAAGGGCCGCTAGATGCTTCTGAGGAAATTCAAAAGAGTCAAGCTCCAAAAGTTTGTAATGATATGAGTTTGGGATTTTCTATCAATATTGATGAAGACGAAGAAGCTGACGCTTATCATAGCCCTAAAGTATTTACTGGAGAAGCTGAAAATGCCACTGGATATAGTGCATTTACTGAAGCTGAAAATACCACTGAACCCAGTTCATTTCCTGGAGCTGAAAATGTCATTGGACCTAGCGCATTTACTGGAGCTGAAAATGCCACTGGACCTAGTGCCGGAGCGTCTGAAAATGAATATCCTGGATCCCAACAAACTCATAAACAAGGTGCGTATGATAAAAGGTCCTCTTCTAATGTAAACGAAAAAGAGAAAAGCAAGCAAAGAAAAAAAATAGTAGAGGATGATAATGAGACATTTCTCAAAGGTATGATGGAAATTATGAAAAACTTTACTTAAAGTCAAGACAAAAGAATGGGTGCCTTGATTGAAAAGATTGGGGATCGTGACCGATCCAATGTTCGTGGACAGATATATTCTATCCTTGAATCTCCCGTATTTGAGTTATACACCATAGAGCAACGTAACAAAGCTTCAATGATTCTCTGTGATGATGACAAAAAGATGGAATTGTTTTAACGTATGGGTGAATTTGAGCGTCATACAATGATGTCGATGCTCGTCAATGATAAACTTTAAAAGTATGGTAAACATGTGGATATAAGTGGTGGCACTAGTTTGATAGTTTTTTGCTTGGCTAACAACTTCAAAGTTTGACGGTAGTGCCATTGTTTGATACCTCTAGTTATTGGTGTGGGCAGGAGGATGCTTGATTTTTTGTGTAACTAATGTTTATTAAATAGCTCTACTCCAGTGTAAATGTTAAATGCATATGTTTATCAAACTCTTTGTAGTCGTTTAACTTTGAGATTCTATGATGTAATTATGTAAAGCTGTTATGACAGTTCTTTAATTTCTCTTTTGTTTCTCTCCAATCTTACTTTTCATTGGTAATTTTTCTATAATTTGATAAGTTGCTTGTGACGGAAGAAGTGATGAATTTCTCTCCACAACTTAGCCACCGCCAAGAATATATCGCTGAAAAAAACATGATTCTCAATTTATTGATGCAGATTGCTCCATTTTAGAGCTATATATTCTTGTTTGCTTGAGGAGGTTGGAAGTCAAAGAAAAAGAGGCCGCCAACTTCAATTCAGTAATGAAAAGTTTTACTATTACATGATCTGTGTAAATAATGGGAATTCCATGTGACAGACCATGTTATCGTTCCAAACAAGTGATTATTATGCACAGAATGTAGCCCAAGAGTGTGAAACATCTAACTTTGAATTAACGTCATAACTTTACCTAGATTTACTTCATTGAGCAACATACTGTGAAAACGGAGCATCAAAAGTAAACTTGTTATAGCTTGATTCTTTGATAGTACTAATTTATTTATTTTTTTGCATTATTATTTTTGTACTAATCCATATAGGTTAATGGATCACTTAAAAGAGCCCCAGCCTTTCTTGTTCTGTTATCTATAAAGTTAATTTTTATAGCTAAAGTTAAAAATTATAGAGGGTACTTTTGTAAACACCTAATTTTTAAAATATTATGCAATGCTTTAATACACCAAACCAAACAGTGGATAAAAAATAATCTCAGCATAACTAATGCCAGCATTACTAATACACTCTATTCAGCACTATTCTTATATCTCCTACCAAATGACCCCTAAGAGTCACTACATGGGCTGCCACGTTAAGGAGGGGTCAAACTTATCCAAAATTTTATAATTACTTAATTAATCTCCCACCAAAAATTATTAATTACCCGATTATTCACATAATTAAGAATTATCTCAATTTATTTAAAATGATACTCACTTTTAATACACTTTATACACCTTACTATCATGGCAATGTGGTACCTTGTGTGGCACTAGTTCATAAATACGAGGTATTTTAGCTCGGGCCGTATTTTATCCCAAAATGTCACACTTCGACAAAAATCATCTTCTCCAATTTGCTTACCCTCTCACCTTCATGAATTTACTTATTACTTGTTTGATATAACGTAATACTTATAATCCCAAAATAATCTCATTCCCGAACTTACATTAATTTACTTAAAGCGTACTTCCACGTACGGAAACGTGGGGTGTAACACTTACTTATGCTTTTATAGCTAATATACAGAGGTTAAAAAATTTCTTATCCACAAATCTCTTTCCAAACCTCGAGTTATAAGGATAAAGGAGGACGGAAAAGTCTTACCTATGTCGTAAGGATCGTGTTGATGTGCTCGCCTCTTGATTTTGAGTTTCGTACGATGGAATTGCTTCAAAACCCTAAGGATGTCTTAAGGATGTCTAGAGAGAGTTTTAGGTCTGATTTGGATTGAAAATAAGGCTTGGAGACGAAGTCCAACACTTTATATAGCAATATAATTCTCAACCGAACTTGTAGGTCTCAAAGGGAGCTACTTTCGCAGTCTACCAAATATGCGAATATATCTCTATTCTGATATTGTATCGACAAACGGTTTAATGCGTTGGAAACTAGACTCGTAAATATTCAATTTTGTGTGTGGATAACCCCATAACTCCAAGTATATTGGTAGTAAAATGAAGTGACATTAGACCCAAATTTCAGTATAGTTTATGAACGTAACTTGTGACGACTTTCGTCGCCTTTTGTTTCACAACTCACTTGACTTCAAAAATTAGCACAAAACTATAATATAACTAATATAACTTATAAAATCACCTTCTTATCATTTTAAGAACCCTAGTCTCACCCCAAAAGTATGGGTTATAACATTCCCAACTTGCCGACTTTCGACAAAACTTATTTTCTTTGATTCGTTTAGCTTCTAAACCTTCCAATCCTCTTGGTTCTTGCAGTTAATGATCTTAATTATTTGTAACCTACAAGGTAATATGATTAACTTACTTTATGTACTTTAAAAGATTATCTCATTTTTGAACTTACATCAATTGACTTACGACGTACTTTTACGTACAAAAACATGGGGTGTAACATGATTCTCATTTTTGAAACCTTAAGTTAGAAGAGTTAACCAAGTTTAAATTTTATGTAATTGATCTCGGGTCAGAGTTTTGATGGTCCCATTAGGTCCAGATGGTGATTTTGAACATAGGCGTATGTCTGAAATTGTATTCGGAGGTACCTAAGTGGATCTGAATTGTTTTGCCAAAAGTTGGAAATCTGAAGGCTTAGAAATTATTTAACCATGATTTGACTTATCGGCTATTGGGTTTGAATTTTGATTTCGGGACTTGAAATAGATCTGTTTTTCCATTTATGACTTGTCTGCAAAGTTTGGCGTCATTCCGAGTTGATTTGATAAGAATCAGACGCGTGGTTGTGTTTTTAGAAGTTCTTAAGTTTCATTGTAAATTTCATGAGTTTTGATGTTCGATTCGGAGTTCTGGGTGTTATTTAGGTATTTTGATCATGCAAGTGAGTTCGTATGATATTTTTAGACTTGTGTGGATGTTTAGTGTAGACCCCGGAGGGTTCGGGTGAGTTTCAGACGTGTTTCTGATTAGTTTGAACTCATTCCAGGTTGCTGGTGTGTTGGTGCTGCAGTTATTGCAATTTCGAGCACCAGCATTGCAATTGCGAAGTTTGCATAGGAATCTCAACTATCGCAATTGCGAAAATTGGATCTCAATTGCGAAGGTTGGCCTTTGCTAGGTATTTCGCATTTGCGACCAAATGGACGCATTTGCAAAAGGGAGCAGACTTCGCATTTGCGAAGTCAGTGTCGCATTTGCGACATTCCCTGGGCTTGTCAGGTGTCGCATTTGCAGTGGGATGTACTTATTTGCGAGGGTTCACAATTGTGAACCCCAGTCGCATTTGCGACTTCTGCACCAGAACAAAAGTGCTGGAAACGGGACTTAGCTTCATTTTATCATATTTTGGAACCCTAGACTTGGTATGCGGCGATTTTGAGGAGGGA